GCTCTACCACTTGAGCCACAGCACCATTCTGGCTTTTTTCTTTTTGCTTATGTGGTGCTGAGGAATCGAACCCAGTGCCTCAGGCATGCAAGGCCAGCGCTCTACCACTGAGCCCCTTCCCAGCCCTTTAGCTCTTTTTTGAATAGAGTCTGGTGCCTTGGCTCCTGGGCAGCCCTGCGTGAGGCGGGCTCGCGGTCCTGAGCCGCGTTGCCCAGCCTGCGCTTACTTTTTGTCCAGGCTGGCCTCAAGCAGCGGAGATTACAGGCATTGCGCCCCCCCCCACCTGGCCAGGCCTGTCAGGTGCAGTGCACAGACGCTGGTCCAGCTCCAGCTGTGGAGGCCAGGGCCTCCAGCCTGGGCCTCTGCAGGGAAGGGCAGAAGGGCGTGCACGTGCGCCGGAGGAGAGCAAAGCCCGAGCCCGACGGGCCTTCCTCCCTCCCGCTGCCTGCCTGCCTTCTCCTCTGCTCCCTCTGCCTCCCTCCCGTCCCTCTCCCCTCCTCCGTCCTCCTGTCTTCTTATGTAGGTCATCCTGCCTGGGAGCTCATGCTGTCTGCCTCCGCCTCCTGAGGGCTTAGCGGACAGACTTGGGCAGTACTAGGTTTTCGTTGCTGCTGCTTTGAGATGGGGTTTCACTATGCTGTACTGCCCAGGCTGGCCTTGAACTCCTGGGCTCAAGTCAGCCCACCAGCACAGGACGCAGGTATCACCGTGCCTGGCTAAAGGCAATTGGATTTCAGTGTGACCCAGGTGTAGTGTTGTCTGCCTGTAGTCCCTGCTACTCCATGGGGGGGGGTCGAGCATCCTAGTCTGCAGACCCTGTTCTCGGGACAGTGCCTGAGTCTCTGTCGCCATGGGGTGTGTCCGTGTCATCTTGATCGGCACACTTGGTGAAGCTGGCTGGAGAGCTCACACGCCGCGCCGAGGCCCCAGAGCGCCTCTCCGGCTGAGCCCCCGCCAGGCCCCATCCTGCCGGGGCTCGGCAGCTTGCTGCCATGCAGTTGGGAGAAGCCTTCTGTTGGGTCCGGGCTGGCTTTGTGTTGGGCTGGGCCTGCTGTGGGATGGCGCCCAGAGTTGGCCGAGGCGCGTGCCCCCCACAGCGGTGGGCTGGCGCCCACAGAGTCAGCTGATAGCAGCATGGAGAACCCTGCGCTTGCCTTCGTTAGGCTAGCAGTAATACCAGACTATGCACACTTTTAAACACAAAAGAAGAAATTTTACCCGGGCGCCGGTGGCTCAGGCTTGTCATCCTAGCTACTCAGGAGGCTGAGATCTGAGGATTGCGGTTCAAAGCCAGCCCGGGCAGGGAATTGTGAGACTCTTACCTCCAATAAACCACTCAGAAAACTGGAAGTGGTGCTGTGGCTCAAGTGATAGAGCGCTAGCCTTGAGCTGAGGAGCTGAGGGACAGCACCCAGACCCAGAGTTCAAGCCCATGACTGGCCAAAAAAAAAAAAATTCCCAGCGTCCCCGCCAGTGACTTCCAGGGCAGCGGTGATCTCTGAGGACTCCGTTGCCCTTTTGGGAAATGTACTGGACTTGGCGGCAAGGCATCCGGCTGTCCCTTCACCGCTGGCATCGGGCAGAGGCGGAGTCCACAGAAGGAGGCTGGCAAGTCCGCTCTGCCCGCAGCCCCGGTTCTCCCCGGTGCTGTGCTGGCCGCCGGGCAGCTTCAGGCTTCATTCTGTGAGCGATGGGGTGTGGGGCCCTGAGCCTGGATTGCCTCCAGCGGGAGGAGTGAGGTTCTGCCCTCTGAATGCTTGGTTTCCATCTTCTTTTCTTTTTTGAGGTCTTGGGGATGAACCCCATGGCCCCAAGATGGCAGGGGGTGTGCCAACCCTGCGCGCCCAGCCCCTCCCCCCAGTGTGCCTCCATTCCCCACTGCCTGCTCACCCGTGGACACAGCTTTTGGCCTTGTGCTGTTCGTCTTCCTTTAGTTGTTCTGTTCGGTCTCTGAACAGAACCCAGGGCCTCACTCATGAGAGGCAGGCGCTGCGCCCTGGACAGCGCCCAGCCCTGAGTCTGTGGTGCCGGTGGCCTGGCCACTGCAAAGCAGAGACAGCCCTTTCCCATCCCTGTCCATACTATTCTCAATCCATTTGACTTCCGAGTGTCTTGTGTTAACTCTCAGTTGCACTCAGCGGTTTTCAGTGATTTGATGTTAACCTGAAGAGACACAGTTGCCTTTCAGGGTCTCTGCCCCGCGGTCTGGTTCAGCTCCAGCCTGGGGCCAGGATGGGCCCATGGACGCGTCGGCGGCGGCGGCCGGCTGTCCACGGCGGCGTGGCCATGCGGGACATCAGAGCTGAGGCCCCGCATGCTGGGTGCCTCGGGGACAGGGGCGGGGCAGAACTGGTGTGACGTGTGAAGTCAGTGCCACTGTGACTCCAGAGGAGGAGCCTGGGGGTGGGGCTGCCCCGCCGGGGGCGGAGCTGCGTGCGTGCCTGGGGGTGGGGCTGCCCCGCCGGGGGCGGAGCCGCGTGCCTGGGGGTGGGGCTGCCCGGCGGGCGGGCGCCGGGGGCGGAGCTGCGTGCCTGGGGGTGGAGCTGCCCCGTGGCTTTGAACCCTGATCCTCACATCTCAGCCTCCTGAGGAGCTAGGATGACAGGCGGGAGCCCCTGCTGCCTGGCAGCTTTAGCTCTTTTTTTTGGTGTGTGTGTGGAGAGGGGGTCCGGTCATGGGGCCTGAACTCTGGGCCTGGG